CTGGGCATCTGCCCCATAGCTCTTCCCTGCTCATGCCCTTCAGACAGCATGGAGGCTCCATGTGGACTCGGCCATCTCTCTCTCTTCTTGCCTTCTCAGGAGCAGCACCCAGTGGGGCTTCCCAGGACTGCAGGCCCCCTGCAGCCCCCGGTGCCCCCAGGCTCGGGCGGCATGGTCTCTGGAGCCAGCCCTGCAGGCCCCGGTTTCCTGAGCAGCCAGCCGCAGGCAGCCATCATGAAGCAGATGCTCATTGATCAGCGGGCCCAGCTGATGGAGCAGCAGAAGCAGCAGTTCCTGCGGGAGCAGAGGCAGCAGCAGCAGCAACAGCAGCTCCTGGCTGAGCAGGTACCCCACACCTATGGAGGGGCTGCATTTGTTCAGCTAGTGCTTGTCAGCGCCTGCTGCTAGGGAGGGAGGCACAGTTCATGTCCTTCATCACTGTCCACCATAACCAGGATCACACAAGGCCCTTTCCGCTAACTAGGCTTTTCCCTATAATGGATCCTCAGTTTATTCTTATGGCATCTGCCATCCATTTGAAGGCCCGTTTTCTAGAGATGCCTTTTCGACCCAAGCCTGACCCATTTTCTTCCCATTTCTGGTGCAGGGGTCTACCTAACCAGCATGCAGAGGGCAGGGGGACTGGGACAGCAGGCGGTAAGGGGAGGGCTGGCTCACATCCTTCAGAAGCCCACCTATTACCAGCAGGCAGCCAAAAAGGAAACTAATTCAGAGAACTTTGTTTCTTGGAAGGAAGTGGCTGGAGGAGAATTTTTCAGAACTGATCGCGAACAATGGAAGTCAAACAATAGCAGAACAATGGGGCCAGCGGATCTACCTGGAAACCGGAACCAGGGTCACAGAGAGGGTGCAAACTGAATAGAAGTCTCAGTAGCGTTTAAAGCAACACAGGAAACTCTTTGAGTTAGAGGAAAGCCTAGCACAAATAAAGCTTTCCCTAGACATCGCTGTCCACCCTGGCCGTGTAATTCCTCCATCTTTGAAAGAAAGCCTTCCCGGAGGACTGCTCCTGCAGGTTTCCCTGTACTCGCCCACACTTGATTTAGTATCGCCCCAGGGAAAATCTCTGGGCCTTCTACCAGCTCTCTCTAGATGACTCTGGTGAGGCCCAGAACCCCCACCACTACTAGGCTCTTTTATTTTATTTATTTTTTAAATCATTTAATCGGGGGCTCTTACAGCTCTTATCACTATCCATTCATACATCCATTGTGTCAAGCACATTTGTACATATGTTGCCATCATCATTTTCAAAACTTTTTCTTCCTACTTGAAGGCTCTTTTATTATAGGAGACAGGAATGTTGTTATATAAGGCCCAAGGTCCCAACATACCTCTGCCTTCCTGAAGGTTCCTTAGGGGATCAGAATTTTGGACACAGACCAAACATCCACCACATATATGCAAGATGCTGGGCGGAGCAAGGGCATGCTGGGGTCCTTACTAACTCAAAGCTGCCCTTCAAGGTAACACTAGTCAGCCCCACACAGAAACCTTGCCTCCTGGATCATGATTCACTTATGTTCTTCTTCTTCTTCTTCTTCTTCTTTTTTTTTTCTTTTGTTCCTGAACAGCTGTGTAATTATCTCCTTTTTTGCCAAGGTCAGTCAGCCGCCTGGCAGCTATTGTACAAACAAACCTCTCTCCCTCTCGCCCTGCATAAGGTGTGTGACAAGGAGCCCTGCTAATCTCTCGCAGGCAGTGATAAATGGAGCTACCGAGGGGAAGCCGGGCCATGCAAAGCCTCTCACCTCAACCAATCCCACGGGGGCTGTAGGTGTGCCCCAAGTTCTGAGCGATGCCTTTTGATCTGTTTGCAGTGACCAAGGCACACAAGAACAACCAGGCAGACCTCAGCCCTGATGGCCCCAGGGGCGTTTCCCCCACAGGGCGCACAACCAGATGCTGTGAAACGAAGCCTGTAAGAAGAAGAACTACATGCAAGTGACAGGTTGAGGGAGCCCTCAGAGCTTAGGCCACAGAGAAAGACAACAGCTAACTCCCTTGAATAAGATGAGGGAATGGGAGAGTGAGTGGAGTGGGATTCCTAAACAGCTGTGTGTGTCGAGACGGTGACACACCAAAGGTATGCGTGACCATCTTTGGGAAATGTACACTCCCCACAGATGCGTGTGGGGACCTGTCACAGGTTGCTGGTGCCAGGGAAGGTGCTGGAAGAGCTGCAGCCGCGTGGGGCGGCATCACTTGGGACCAGACCACAAGTGAATCAGAGAGACCGTGCTTAAAATCTCAAGTAGCAAGCAACTCAGCCGCTCCTGAAGAGTTAGCTTGCTCACGCAGGCTGCCTGGGGGTCTGGAGCGTGAATGATTAAAACACTTGGCTGTTGACCGCAAGCTTGTAGGTTCAGGTCCTCCTAGAAGCACATCAGAAGAAAGGTCTGGCAAGCTACTTCAGAAAAATCAGCCAGTGGAAAATCATCGGAGCACACACCCTCAGGAGGCCACAAGTCAGCATTGTCCTCGAGGACCACCCAAGGCAGGCGCTCAACTCTCTGCTGTGAGAAAGAAGATTGGCCCAGCAATCCCAAGCTGATTTCTCTTCATCTCTGACAGGACTGAAAGGGCCCTAATTCCCTCCTATTAGAAGCAATGGATCCACAGCCCCACGGACTCCCTGAGGGGAAGCAGGCGGGTTGGGGATCCTGCCCTTGTCTGGGAACTTCAAAATGATTCTCAGTGAAGTTGGAAACCAGAGAAGGACAGGTTGAAGCAGGCTTGAGTGAGCCTTTAATGCCGCCGTCTCTGTGCGTTTGGAACACACACACACACACACACACACACACACCGCCGCCTCATTCACAGAGATCCGACAGCACTGAGAAATTTTAGCTCTGAAAAAAAACATGGAGAACGAGATGTCCCGCCATGTCACCTATCAGGAAACTTCTGTTGACGTGGTTTGCCCCTAGTGAATCACCAGCACTGGAACCCCAAACTCTAGGCTCATGATTCGGTCTGGTTGCCCCCCAAGTTATCAGGGAGGTAGGGCAGCTCATTCGTGATAAGCAGGGCAAGGAATTGTGTTATTAATATGGGAAGCTCAGCTGGGGATGAGCGTTTAATGTTCTAGCATCCTCTCTGTTGTGACGTCATTGCTGCCTAAAAGATTTGCAGGGCTTGCCTGTACTTTAATTAATTAATCGGCTTCACCAGTTTTGTACAGAGTGGGGGTGGAGGGGAGAGAAATTTCCGGGGCTGCCCAGGAGCCCCCCAAAAATCAAAGAGAAAACAGAATTCCACGCCAGATGTGAAGAAGGGGTCAGCGTGTGTTATTTTTAGCATGAACACTAAAGAGCAGATAACCCTGTTGTCTGTTCTTTACAGCCCTGGCCAGGGAAAGGTGCACCATGAATATTCAACAGCTGCAGGAAGGAAAGTTAAATGAGTGGCCCGGAGGTCAGGTGACGCCTTATGGCCGAACTAGAACGGAAGCCCCTTTCCGCTGCTCCGGCCTCCTCCCTTTGCACGTGCAGCATGATAATGCTCATAATAGCTTCCCCGTATATTGAAAACGGCAATAGCTGTGCCGAATCCCCAGGAGTGGAAGAAGAAAGGCTGCCGTGCAGGCCCCCTGGCTCTTGGTATATGCGGAATTCTACTCACTTTGCTCGGGCAGTAAATGCTGTGTGTTTTGCTTGGGCGGGAGGGGGCGAGATGTATGTTACTGGCAGCATGGCCTCATGGGGATAAGATTAGCGTTTTTTATAGCCCTAGAAAATCCCATCTTCCTCTGCTGGAGCATCTATTTAGGTCATTAACAATTAGATGCTTTTCCCTTTGAGCCAAGCCCCCACCATGTGAAGGAAAGCGTGCCGACCTGCCTCCCTCTGCAGCATTGCTCATGGTACCTCCAAACACGTGCCCACATCCCACCAGCTTGCCCAGGGAGGGCAGGGCAGCAGTACTCGTGGCAACCCCAGAGCGGCCCCCCAGAAGGGCAGCGCACATGGTGGTTTGGTCCCATGGTGAATTGTCATTCCACGTGAGAACGAACCATCCACAACCTCATTCGTTCGTTAACAGCGACGATCACACAAACTCCGTGAGGAACACACGAAGCCAGACGCAAAAGGTTTCTCTCCATAAAACCAGTCTCTTGGGCGCCTTGGGAGTCCATTGTCACCTCACGGGGACTCCGTGTGACAAAGTTGATCTCCCCCTGAGAGTTTCCAGAGTTCTCCAGAAGCGCATTTCCACCTCTCTTTCACGGAGCTACTGGGAGCAGGGGATCCGATGTCAGCCCTTTGAGTAGTGGCCAGGCGCCTAGTCAAGCACGCTCCCTGCCATCCAGTGGATGCCTACTAACAGTGACTGTCAGATGGGGGACAACTGCCCCTGCGAGGTTTCTAGGCTGTACCGCTCTACAGGACTAGAAAGCCTCCTCTTTCTCCTGTGGAGCAGCTGGTGGCTTCGAACCGCTGACCTGGTAGTTTGCAGCCCAGCATGTAACCCACGACACCACCAAGGATCCCATTTTGTCACCAGGGCGTCATAAAACAAATCCATGTTGTTACAAGTCAGGATAGTGGTTGCCCTGGTCTGAAAACGGGGAGGGGGTGGTCCTGGGCAGAATGGGCACGAGGACTTTTCTTGCTCTGGGTGCTGGAGGCTGCCCGTGTGGTGGCAATCCATCCAACGGCACATTTCATATCGGTGCACTTGTTTGTAGGCGTGTTACTCTTCAAGAAAAAGTCTTCCTTAGAACTACGAGGATCTTTAACTGCTTGCTCTCTCTCCATCTCCCCCCCTCCCGCCCCCCCTGGTCCTGTGTCGTTCCAGCAGCTGCAGCAATCGCACTTACCTCGACAGCACCTCCAACAGCAGCGGAACCCGTACCCGGTGCAGCAGGTCAATCAGTTTCAAGGTGAGGCCAGAGCACAGCCCTTTCCTCGTGTCCCTGCCCATTGTACAGTGCCTGGCCGCATGTGGCCAGCAACATTACCTTAGGATGCCGTGTGTAGGCCCTCCAGTAGGGTACAGAATGAATTCCTGGGGGTGGGGGGGGGTCTCCTCCTGGACCAGGCATCCGCCTTCTGGTCTCTGGAAAGATTCTGGGGAGGACCAGCGTGGCTGCGAGGAAACTAGTGGTGACGAAGAACAGCGGAAGCAAGACGTGTCTGTCTCGGAACAAGTACAGCCAGGGCGCTCCTGAGAGGCCAGGATGGCATGACTTCATCTCACGTGCTCTAGGCATGTTGTCAGGAGAGACCGGCCCCTGGAGGAGGATGGAGGACGTCATGCTTGATCAAGTGCAGTGGGAGCAAAAGGGAGGCAGGCCCTCGGGGAGATGGATCGACACGGGGGCTGCAACAACGGGCCCCAATAGAAGAACACGTGTGAACACGGAAGGCCCAGACGGGGTTTCATACTGTTTACATAGGGTCGCTCCGCGTGAGGCCCCACCGACAGCGCCTAACCACTGCCACACCCCAGAGCTGACAGACATACATTGACCGGAAGGACCTGCTGGCTCCTGATGGGCCACGGTCAGCCTTGTGGGAGTCTGGAGCCGACTTCTTCCACCTCGGATTCACTACAGCGCCCTTCATGTTGAGCCTTCAGACCCTTTACAGCCCCCACATTTAGTCAGGACCCACCGTTTAAGAAACTGGGGTCTAGATCCGCCTCAAAATGGCCCCATGGGGAAATCTCACTTGCTGCCGAGTCAGGGCTGCGAGCCAAAGCCCTCGCTTCTAAAAACTGAAGGAGAAGATCCCTGGGTGGCAGCGGCCACGGACTGCTCTGAATGGAGAAGACACACAGGGCCCTGACGCCGGCTGTGCCATCTCGCTGTCTCAGACCTGCTGCCCTTGAGGAGAACCCTCGATCGGGGCCCTGGCGGCAGCAAGCCTGCGCAGTTGCCATGGCTTTGTGAGCGTGGATGATCCCCTCAAATCTCAGGTCCTGGCAGCAGCAGAGCAGAGCCCGGGAGGATCCTGTCTGGGGTGGAGGAGGGCTCAGTCCTCGACCTCGGTCACGCCATGGTGAAGCGCGCACTCGCTAAGGGAGAGTTGTGAATTGATGGAATCGCCCCACTCTGCAGGAGAAGTGCTGTGCTGATCTGCATCCCTTGAGGCAAAATAAGCCCACACCCATCTGTGACTTTTTAGTCGATGCTGACTCACAGTCACCCTACAGGCAGAGTGGGAGCCCCGCAGGCTCCCCAGGGCTGTAAGCCTTTGTGGGAGCCCACGGCCCCACTGTTCTCTGGCCTGAAAAGGTCACGGTGTAGGAAAGCCTGTGGGGACAGGTATACCCAACAACAGGCAGCAGAAATCCACACTCTGGTGCCCCAACTCCTCAGGTGGTACCAAAGCCTTCGAGAATCTGTGAGAAGCGCCTTCTGCAGAAGCATGCACCTGTGTCGATACTCACAGCATCACGTATCTCATATACCACGAGGGTGCTCGGACCTCCTGGCCACGCTCCCTAGACTGGCTGGAATATGAGGCCCCGTGTTGCTGTTGCTAGGTGTCACCGGAGCGACGCTGGGCACACCAGCATGACACACGGACGGCCTACGCTGTCCTCAGTCATTCTTCCGCTTGAGCCCACTGTGGCAGCCTCTGGGTCCATCTGTCCTGCTAAGGGCCTTCTCCGTTTTCTCTGGCCCTCACTTCGCCAAGCACTGTGCCCTCCTTCTCCAGGGACTGGTGGCACAGGCTTCAGTTTGCGACCCATTCATAGGTGGTGAGAGCCACTCAATGGACGTCATTTAAGGGAAGCCCACTGGAAACGGAACTAGCAAGGTTTGCCATCGCAAGGGAGTCTTCGCACTCGGCTTTAAACCCGGGTGCGATCCTGGATCACACCTGTGGAGCAGAGCGCATGCTGCGTGTGGAGTGTGGTTTAGAGTCCGACCACTGCTG